GCGTCTCGGTTACGTGAGATAGTGTCATGCAACTGCCAGTATGATTTAGTGTTACCGTGGCGTTCGTGGTTCCTAATACGTGATTCGTAATCCGTGATCTGTGGGTACTTCAACCATTACAGATTCATTCAAATTGACCTCTGTGAAGGAGCTTGAAGACGAACGGTGAATACAGTTCGCCAAAGCAAGTAGATATGCATCTCCCGCTCTTAGGTGACTACAAATGTGATTTTTTAACAAGATTCATTGATAAGACGATCGTTGGAACGCTTCCTGCGGCTCGTTTTAGTAAACAGTTCATCAGCCGATCCTTGCTATCATTGAATCTCGCAGATAAATTGCTGATCCTTACTTCCCCTAAGCTGACCTGTTATTTGGTTTTCTCCTGTTTGACAAGCTACATAGGCTGGACGGTCAGGTAGTTTTCTCAAAAAATCGAGGAACGTAAACCGGCCTGGTTGAGCACGGGAACCGCAAGGACCATGTCGAGGGCAATCACGGTTCATCTCGTAGACACCGGACACCAGCTAAACGAAGAAGTGTTTAAAGTCATGTACAAAGTACCCCCTAACCCTTCCAAAACCCTCTGAGAAAGCCATCTACCGAAATCAGACGCGATAGCAATAAAGTTATTGCGACCAACCTTATGTTCACAAAACAGTTTGTTAAAGCCTTCCAGTTACCCTAGTCCAGACCCGATTCCAAACGTCATTTCACCCATGACACATTGACCTAGACCGGAAGTATATGACCTCGCCGATCTTGTATCATCCCTCTTCCCCTTTCTTTCTATCTTTGTTTCCCGATTCCCTATTTTAAACCACTGATTAACAATATTTACTTTTAACTCTTTCCCAACTACTCCTCACCAGATCTATATCGTTCAACCAGTACATCTGTTCACTTCATATATATATATATATATGTATATATATATATATATATGTACTAGNAAAGGGAAGAAGTTATCGAAAACGAGCTTTTTCGCTGCTCGTGAGGTTCTGGCATTTTCACAATGGGAATATTCAGTGAATAGTAAAAGACAAACAGACTAATAGAGGTTCATGCAAGAATTGAAGACTAACAAGCTCGATCTGGAAAGCGTAGGGCTAATGTTTCAAGGGGCCGTCACCACTGAGTACGAACACACGTTCATTGTTCACGAAAATCTCACTTGTTCTCCGTTCCCGGATTCACGTTAATACTTGTCTGATTTGCATACAAGAATCTTGACTGAACCCTCATGTTGCTGACGCGTTAACCTGTACCGGCAGGACAGGGAATCATGTGGCAAAAAATCCGGTGGTGGTGTGGTTACCTACGTCAACACCTCGTGGTGTGGCAAGTCAGATGCCGTTTACTCATACTCAAGTAACGGCATTGATTGTTTATCTCTTCAGTTTTACCTTAAATTCTCCCGACATAGTAGTACCATCATAACGATCCTACACATTGCTCCGTTTTGTACGCAAAATACCAACTCGACATTCTTCGCCTCATTTTTACCTTTTCTTGTACCACTGCCCGAGAACAACCTGCAAATTATTGTAGGTGATTTTAACCATGCCTCAACCCGGCCTCTCACTGCTTTTGACGTAACAGATTTATGCGTTTCGCCGATCAGAGGTAACTCCGTTTTAGACAGAATTATAACAAATCACCCCGAATTCTTCTCTCTCCATCGTGCATCCGTATCAACCAGTAATCACTGTCTGCTCCTTCTTAGACCTAAGTTATATTCTCGTTCTGCCTTTCATTCAGTTAGAAAAAGTAACCAAATAAAAATCAGTCTTCGAAACACGTCACGTGAATGTATTCTTCTTCAAAGAGCCCTATACCATACAGTTTCATGGTTTTCCCTTGAGCCTCCACTGAACAACAATGTTAATCTTTTTGTTGATACGATCAATTCCATCTTTGATATCTGTTGCCCGGTGGAAACCCTATTTCTCTCCGATGGTTTTATTGCATCTCCAAAACTCAAAACACTTAGGAGACACAAGGAACATTTCTATAAATCCCGGAATTCATCAATGGTCAGCTACATTTCTACCTTGATAAAAAAAGAAATTCAACGTATCGATACCACCTATGGGAATCAACTCATATGCAGCAAAAACAGGAGACATCTATGGAAAGGAATTTGGATCTTATGTGGAGCGAAACCCAAACCCAATGAATGTACCGTGGACGAGTATAAATCAGGTATTTGTACATCCGAGTAGCAATCCTCCTGTTTCATGGGTTCAGGAAGACGCAAATATCAGAACCTTATTCACGAGGGAAGAAATATTTAAACTCTTTCGTACAACTAATTCATCCACTGGTACTGGTCCTGACGGTTTATCTTCACCCCTTCTAAGGCATGGTGCCCTGGCTCTAATGGATGCATTTACTTTTTTCCTCAACACGTCACTCAGTTTATATTCTATTCCCGATTGCTGGAGACCCGTCACGATCATTCCCATTCCAAAACCGTGCAGATCCAGTACCCTGTCCACACGTTTCCGTCCCATTGCTCTAACGTCATGCGGTCTTAAATTGTCAGAACGTGCCATTCTTAAACGCCTTTCTGCTTCTTTCTGTGTCCCCGAAGACCATCACCAGTTTGCTTATAAATCAAACAGGTCCAATTTGGATGCTGTTGCCTCCCTCGTTCATCAAGCTACCAAATCCTTAGACGCATCTGCGAAATCTGTAAGATGTGTTTTCTTAGATTTTTTATCAGCTTTTGACTCTGTTCCACGTTCCGTCCTCCTTCGTAAACTGGAATCATTTGTCTGTCCCAAGCATCTACTGGCGTGGCTCATCGACTACTTCACAAACAGAACTCAGCAGACTCGGCTCGGTAGGAAAACGTCTAAACCACTCGTGAACAATTCGGGAGTACTACAGGGTGCCGTGTTGTCTCCGTTCTTGTTTTCCACCTACATCAATGATCTGTCTGCGAATTCTCCAGCCCAGTTATTTAACTATGCTGATGACGTAGCCCTCTGCCAAGCCATTTCTGTGCCTGAGGACCTTTTACATTTCTCGAATAATCTATTGCATATTCATGAATTTTCCGTTCGTTCTGGGCTGTCTCTAAATTTATCCTAGTGCTGCGAATGCACTTTCTCCCTTTTTCGATCTGTTTATCCTCGTGATCCGTCTGTCATAAATGCAGATCCGCTAACTATAGTTGATTCTGTGAAGTATCTGAGAGTTACAATTGACACTAACTTGAAGTGGACATCCCATATTTACAACTCTGTACAGAAACTTCGCAGATTATCTTTTCAACTTCGAAGACTTAGGTAGTTCAATGCCAAGCAAAAAATCATTTCATTTTTTGTTTATTAATGTGTTTTCCCTGTTCTTCTTTATTGTTCCCCGGTGGATGTGCTGGTCTACTAAAGAAAGACTTCAAATTTCTTCGTCGAGGTTTGTCAATGATCAGTCGTGTGTCTTTTATACCCGTTAATGAGCTATCTAAAAAACTGTGTGAACTTCACTTGTCCGCATTTGAAACATTTGACCAAAAACTCTTCACTGACCCCAACCATCCTTTACATGGCGATTTATCTAAATGCTGCTCTCATACGTCTATACGTTCTTCTCATCGATTATTACCCTCTCGCATTAGTCTCTACAGAAATTCCCCATTTCCCTATCTTGCCAGAATCCTTGTAAACCGAGAGCGCGCTTCTTCCAAATTTCCCAGTAGCCTTAAAGGCCAAATATTTTACTTGTATCTTTCCTTCTATTGATGAGATGTGTAATTTTTGACTGAAATGCGAACATTCTGTTCTCGCAAAAGTCTACACAAATACAAATAAAAATACAACAGAAGTGAAAACATGTTTTATGGGAATAATGCTGAGTTGGGAAGTGATGATTTGTATTGCACCCCAGAGCTGCCTAAGCTCGTGAATGCGCAAAGGAACTCACGTAGACTGTGGATGGTCATTGTCTACAGTTACTTCTACATATTTGGCGAGTTTAATAGTGGATAAATAGTCATCATTGGTAATTTCATTATCGGTGGAAAAAGGAGATTCAAGACGAGCGAAATAACAATCCGCACCAGTTCATCACAATAGTAAATAATATTTGCGCATTAGCTCTGAATGATGTTTCCACTTCCGTTTGCATCCATCAAACAGTTGATTTTTAGTAATTACCCGGATTGTCAGAAAACGTTGGAATTCTTTCAGTTGTATTAACATAATGTTCAATTAAATCGAGCAGAAATGTGTTAGGTACCGATCGTGGGTTACGTTTCTTTGATCAGATACATTTTCACAAGTGTTTATATTCTATATTTTTATGAGACTAAAATAATTATTGAAGTGGTATTGGTTATTCGCTGCTGTCATTGAAGTTCGTTGGATTCCGTTTATAAAAGTAGTTTGATTAAACAGTTCAGATTATTGAATCTATTTTCCCTGAAGCCAACTTATATATACGTATATTTCCATTGGGGTTTCTTTCATATGAATATTGTACATGGTCCTATCTGAGCTCATTGGGTTGAACAGGCTCTGCTTGATTAGGCAGCGGTCAGATGACAGTCCACCTTTTCGAATGGCCTACGGTCGAAGGCGAATTATCGATTGGATGCCAGTTTAAAACGATCTATATAAGTCTACTGACTGAGGTTGTCCGGGTGATAGACGGCACCAGATCTCTCAACCGGACTGCGGAAGTCTATTTTGAGAGCGTTTTGATAAACAAAATGGTGAGTAGTCGTGATTTAATCGTTTTTCCCCATTCTCACACAATTCCACACTTGATCAAACAAAGATGAATCACTAATACTCAAACAAAAATGACCAATTGATGAGATCTAATTCATTTTTATTTCCTTCTTCTTCTCATCGTTGTCGTCGTGAATGAACAACTCATGCAAATGCTAGCGTGAATGCATCAGTATTCATGTTGGTCAGGCTGGTGTACAAATTGGGAATGCCTGTTGGGAACTATATTGTTTGGAACATGGCATACAGCCTGATGGCCAGATGCCCAGTGATAAGACCATCGGAGGCGGTGATGACTCGTTCACAACGTTCTTCAGCGAGACTGGAGCTGGAAAACATGTACCTCGAGCGGTTTTTCTTGATTTAGAACCAACTGTTGTTGGTAAGTTTCCAGTTGCGAGTTTCCCTGTAAATTTTTGAATCGTATTTATTTTTTATCTTAAGTTTGTTTGTCAGTACAGCTATTAGGGTATTACTTTGATGTTTCTCGTTTCAAGCTGTTATAGATCTGCATTGTATTTTATCTCACTGTATGCTACGTATATATTTATTGTACTTTGACGTGTTAGGTGCCAAAACATCATACTGCAGATCGAACGAGATAGAGAAATGTGAAATAACTAGCAAGTGCAATAGCAAGAAGGCGGGTGGATGCAGTAGAGTATGCTGAGCAAGATTGTTTGGGATTCTAAATGTAGGAAGTACTAGTGGAAAACCTGTGACGCTGATGTAAGCAGGCTAGTCAAAAGCTTTGACATAAGGGATATCCAATATTTTAACATGTTTAATTGAAGAATGAAATAATTCTATGCACAATGCAAACAGTCACCTCATGCAAATAAATAATGTATGAAAATAGGTGTAATTTTAACGATTTGCATTGTTGTGAACCCTTATCAGTGTTTTCTACGTAGTTGATTAGTCATAGAAGTCTTTTATGATGGTATCATGCTACGCGGTCATGAACTGGTTTTGCATATGTTGGTGTCACCAAAAGCCGAAAGTAAGCAGATTCTATAGAATCTGCTGCTTTCTTACGGAGTAATGCTTTTATTTCGTCATAGCACAAACCTCAGTTTGTCCGACATCTGAACGCAGGCAACTACAAGTGTTTCAATTCCAAAACGCAGTGTCTAGTCCGGAAATAATAATTTGGCACACATGACAGATATCTCATTTGAAACATAACATCTCCCTTCCCTGCAGCACACAGGGTAATGAATGAATGGAGCAGTCCGTGGTTATTCTTTGGGGCAAAGCAATTCACCCTTAGTGGTATTGTTAATATTTGTGCAGTATATCGTATTCAGGTAGTCCGTTAGTATGAAACGCGATCCTAGGAGTGTAGATAATTCCACAAGGGCCCTGCAATGGAATTCGGTTACGCAGGGTAAGGGCAATCACAACTTCGACACGTGTCTATTTCACAAAGGCACTCACCGGGACCACACAGGATTCACAGCCAATCAGGATTACTCCAAGGAAGAACGCAGTCACAATACAAGCTAACGTTAAAGGAATGTCAAGGGGTCACACAGGAGAAAGGGGCAGTTACAAATCGGAGGGCGGATCGATCAAAACAATCAGTCTTCGCGTCTCTCTTCTACTCTTGGACGGCATTATTTGTGTTCTCCTGCGGGGCCTTTCCACTTCGTCTTACGCGAAAAGCTCAGACAGAATACACCGGAGTTTGCCTCTTCGTTGATAAATGAAAGCAGGAAAAGTAGTTTATTCTAAAAACAATTAATTAAGAAAAACTTATACGTCCCTAAGGTAATACGGTCCATCGTAGACGCACAAGAAAATCCCATGAGAATAATCGGATATCGATTACCGCATTTCAGATCCACAGACCCAGGCCAATGAAGCTCCATTGCTGCGGCCTGCATCGGAAAGGTGTAATCACGTTCGAATAAAGAAAGAAACGAAGACCACATTGGTTTGCACAAGGTATCTGGTATTGTTTCGCTGCATTTGTCTGTACACATGCATGCTGCATGCCAAAATAACAAAAGTTGCATGAGTTTACAGTTGAGTAAAGTGCGGCAGAGGACATAGAATATTATTTACCGAATGACCACACCAGTGAAGGATTTCTCCCTATTCGATAGAGACTTCCAATGAAGAAAGTGACCCGAAAAAATAATCAGAAAGAAAATAAATAACTCCAAATTTAAATAAAGCATTAGAACATGTAATTGAATTGGTGACCCAGGGATGTTGGTGCACGTTAAATGCTCTGATTGTGTTATCCATTGTTAACACCACGTCGATTCCTTCCGGTTTACTTTTCGCTATTTTGGAAATGTATTCACAAGTTTTCTATTCATCATAAGATTTTCAAAGCAAATGGGGGTTGTCTAGTGTCGATTATCAGAACCCATAACTTGTTCATACATATTATTCCCTGCACTTTCGTTTTGAAAAATGAACACTGCGTAATACTAATAATATACGCATATATAACAAAATACTGATGTTTTGTCTTATGTGGACGGAATTATTGCACGTTCAAAGCGTCGAAGTTTTGGTGACGCAATATAGTGTGGTGAAGCTAGGAATCGGGATAAGCAAACACAGAAAGCGGATGATGGGTGGCCATCACGGCAGTTGAGAAGCCCGGCAGATACCGGATGAAAGTTTATAACGAGCTTAACGGATACCAGACAAGAAAGACTATGCAACCAAAAATGGGAGTTCGAAAACGTGATGGAAGGTGGGGTACAGGATATATATACTTATATTACGTATATACACTGGTCAGAAGAGGGTAAGACCACAGGGGTGCGGCGGGTGCACANTTGGGTCTCTTTCTTTGACTTCTCTGTCTCGTCCGTTCATTCTTGGCTGATGGCGCCTGGACGCAGAGAGAGAGAGCGAAATACTATTTTGGCTGGCAATCATTAGGGTGAAGGTGAAACTGAGACAGCCTAACTGATGTAGCTCATCCTAATGGAATTACAACAAAGATAGTCACTTGTGGCTCCGGATTAAGCCACTTAGCAAATTCAGACGATGGAGGTCACCTGAGGATGAAATGAAAGTGAATGCAATAAAGCTGTTAATCGATAATTAGCGCACTATGCAACAATGCTGTTAAATCTACCAAATCATATTATCATTATTAAAATCATTGAATTGAAGTTTAGGTCACCTGTATTTTAAACTAAATTGAGGACCAAAACAATGATTTCGTGATCGTTTTAAGTGGAAATGAAAATCAGGTGTTTAAATTCGAGGTTACATGGAATGAATTATGTTAGACATGACTCCTCGTTGTCTCTGCTAATTTGAAATAGATGATATCAGTCAAGTGTTTAAGGTTTCATCGGTTGATGGCTCGCCAAACAGAAATCTGATAGCCTGAATTCGTGTCTATCGGGTTCACCGATGCGGGATTAGAAAAATTGAGTACCTGTAGTCACTATGTAACTATCGGCCTAAGAAATATAGCTACGCTTGTAAGAACAGTAGGAAAAATATGCACGGTATGCTGCAATGCAGATGATCTTCAGATTGCCTCTGAGGTCGTGTCCGAATCCGCTTCCTACTAAACATTTATTGAAAAGATGAGTATTTAATAGGAGAAGTAAACGCAGTCAAAATTTCATCATGGGAAATGATCAAACATTGCTGCAATACAGTTATTCGAGGCCCCATTTTGGATTGTGTTTCCCTAATGCGAGCAAGCTGCCCAGGCTTCTACTCGATTTACTTAGAGTATGTCAGTTCCCATATTCCTAACTTATATATAACTTCTAGCAATTTATTGGATAAAAAGGACCGCAAATTAGTTTTCGCAAAACGGTCATTGAATAAATTGGTGTCCAAACAGCTTGCCGTTCCCTATTATACGACCAGTTGGAAATTGATGAAGTTCAAAGAACTGGGTGACATTTTTACCCGCTTGTCGAGTGGTTGTACTGGTGATATAGTAGTAGTAGTAGTAGTTACTGATTTTGCTGCTGGTGGTGAAAACCTTCAAGTCGCTATCTCTAACAACCTCCATTGATCACAGGGGTGAGCAATTGTGATATCGTTCAGACTCGAATGGTCGACTAAAAATGATTCTCATTTCATCAGCAATACTCCATTTTGGAGTGAACTAGCAGTGTCTCGGTAATTGTACAACGAATAAAGGAGCCGAGGCGGCTGCCTAGCCGGCAGCGCAGTACAGAGGGCTAGGCTCAGATTCGAAGTGTTTTCCCAAAATATAAGGCAAAATGCACGGAATCAACACAAGAGTCTGCCGTTGAAAATTCAAGGCAGTACACTTTCAGCTCTTCTAAGCATATACGTAGTTTGAAAATGAACCCAAAGAAAGTAAACCTGACGGTGTACAAAAAGAGGAACCAACATATCAAAAGTGGCCAGCTGCACAGAGCGTGGACTAGATATTATTTTAAATGCGATGACCATTATGTGTGAAAACTTTTTGATATTAAAAAAATTAACAATGAATAGGCTGCTTGATCATTCCCCTTGATGGTCAAGTAGGTAGTTTGCTTGCGTTCTGCCTGTGAGGTCCTGGGTTTGATTCTGAACTCAGTGGGGGGATTTATACTTCTGATAGGACCCAGTCAGGTTGAAACATTTCGACTGTGCATATTGGCTTTCCAGTTCACACTTCATTTGCTCTGATCCATACGCAATGCGTCATATTGAAAATAAGTGATTTTTCTTGCCCTAATTCAAGGCAAATTTGACAAATAATCATAAGAGAGACGAGAATTGTTTCTCTTTCATTTCACAACCATATGAACAGATCTTAAACTATTGGGGAATTGCTGCACAAGACCAATCAGAAGGTAACGTGCCACAAGTCGTGCGGTTTAGTCAGATAAATTATATCCTCCGATCCGTTTAACAATAATTTTTATACTACACAAGATAAATGCAGTACTTGATTAAATTGTATTATGAAGCTTATCGTTTGAAACCATCAATCTTGTTATTTTGACCATTTTGTCTAAATGGTATCAAAATTACATTTGCAGATTACAACCAATTGTGAGTACTAGGATCAGCCTTCTTTACTGATTTCAGCTAACTGTACTGCACAATATGTAGTTTACACACAATATTTTCCATATATATTTATATGTATATAATGTAATGCTCATTGGGTGGATTTTGAGACGAAAAAATCTCGAAGAATTATTACAATCATTCTTCATCGGGTGTCGTGGGTAAGATGCGTATAACCTCAGCCACCTCGGCACTAGGGCCGATTTTCAGCGTTTTGTAATGAGCAATGTTTCTATCACCTGTGCCATTCCCAGAAAATGAGGGAAAATGGTTCGATAAGCGTAAAGTGGACATACACGTTTAGAACTTCATTGGTTTCATGTTTATTTGTTATCTATGCGTTATACAGAAGTTCAAAAACAGTGCACATTGTTAGCATCCATGAGACATATCTTAGGGTCTCTAATTAATCTCCATGATTATTCATCTGGCCCTAACCTGGAAGGTGGGAAGCATCCATGGAAGATAGTTCCATAAATAACTCCACACCCGGAAGCCAATTCGTGATCTGACCACTAGGTCACTTTCCGAAACCAGTGAGAAAATAGCATGGAGAACTAGAAGACAGGCAATCATGTTTAAAATATTTTCATTCTACTGAGGAGTATATAGAATGAGTTCTTTCTGTCAGCACTGAACACACGACAGTATATTTTGACTATATCGGTGATTTAATACAGAAAGTCGATTAGCATTCTCAGCAGGGTGAAACCACTTGTTGCAATCCTAAAGTAAAAGCCTAATAGTCTGATCAAATCGACTAAATTTGTTCTTATGACTTTCAAATATACTAGACAACGTAAAAATGTCGTTCAGTTGGAGTCCTCTGATTGAAACTGTTTTCTCGTCTTCAAGTATTGCGCACTCAGGATAGTTATCGACAATCATAGTATTTTTCTCAAAGGGCCAAACATAGTGCGATCAAGTGCTTGTTAGTCTTGAATCCTTCATGATCATTAAGAAAAATAACTATCGAAAGCCGAATACCAACATCAATACCGTTGAACTTTGCCCCGTTGTAACCACTGATACCCTATTTTGTCTTTTATTTGCACAGACGAAGTTCGAACTGGGACATATCGTCAATTGTTCCATCCTGAACAATTAATTACCGGGAAAGAGGATGCCGCGAATAATTATGCTCGTGGACATTATACAATCGGTAAAGAAATAGTTGATTTGGTGCTTGATCGTGTGCGAAAATTGGCCGATCAATGTACCGGACTTCAGGGTTTTCTCATTTTTCATTCATTCGGTGGTGGTACCGGGTCCGGATTTACTTCTCTGCTTATGGAACGACTCAGTGTGGACTATGGGAAAAAATCGAAACTGGAATTCTCGGTCTATCCAGCTCCGCAAATTTCCACCGCAGTGGTGGAACCATATAACTCCATTCTGACCACACATACCACATTGGAACACTCGGACGCGGCGTTCATGGTAGACAATGAAGCGATCTACGATATTTGTCGGTAGGTTTGAGTTAGCCATAATAATCCACCATGAATTATTGTTCATTGGTTACTTGTTCGAATGCCCAATGGTTGGTAGTTGAGAAGCCACCTGCATGTTTCAAATATTAATGAAAGCAGCTTAGAAAAACGTTGCATCTCAGCTGTTGCTTACTGCAGAACTCAAATCAGTTTATCTATCACAGGTGTTGATAATCTAACATGGTATTCATTCAATCTTCCGCTAACATGGTTAACATAACAATGCCAAACTAATGTAGACTTCCTTTTGCTGACGAGGTAGGGGCTCTTGGCGCTTGATTGATTTTACCTCTGCAAATCTCAGCAGCCGTCCATTCAGGGTTGTGTAAGCAAGCCGAAAAGAAGTTCCGCGGTTGGTTTGGTGGCCAGTCTGGCGCAAATGGCGGACAACTAATGATGTTCTGTGCGGTTGGCTTGGTGGACTGGGTGTTTGTGTAACCCTCAATCTGATCTGTTCGCCTTCGACCCGTGCTGGAATGTGTTCTGCCACTCTGGTTCACAGTTGCCTCTCTGTTCTGTCCACGTAGGTGGCTCCGCACACACATTGAAATTCATAGATTACGTGTGATTTGGCGGACAGAGGAAGCGGTGATTTCACTAAGGGCTTTGGAATCTGGGTTGTGGTGAAGCAAACGACCGAAATCGCTGCAAAATAGGTGCGGGATACCGATGTCACTAGCCCTCTTCGAACAAGTTGGCCCACATAGTCACCTTTGAACGGCAGTTGAATGAGAACGTCACATTTTGGTGCTGTTATCCCCGAGGTCTTGGGTTCGGTTTGTACATTGTCCCTTTGTATTTTGAAGTAAGCACCAGCTGAGATGTAGGGAAATGATTCCGGAATTAAATCGTACTCGCTTTGTTCAAGTTTATTTCGGGTAATTGATTTAAGAAAACTACATTGGTTATAGGTTAATCTGCTGTCTGTGTTCATCCGTCCAAGCAGTAATTTTGGATTCACGTTATTCAGATCGACCAAGTTCGTGTGTAGAGACCTTGGATAGATGAACGGTACAGGTACGTTTGTTTTGTGCGGAGAATGAACACATACGATTAGTGCTCAAACATCACCGTCCACGCAGAATTTCCCTAATCTGGAGGGGTAATGTGAGAATCAAGGTTGAGGTCAAACAATTGAATTGATTTTGTTTCTGGTATGTGACTGAAAAAGCTTTATCAGTGCGCCGTGTTTACCGATGATTGTGGTTGAAGGAAATATGTCAAAAGAAAAAGGGAAGGTGTGAAAAATTTGATCGGATCACACAGATCCTTATGCTCAAGTTAGTTGATTTCTAGAGACATTGTTCTATCAAAAGACCCAGCATTATCAGTAATAAGCACAATTTTGTCTTCTAGCATCACTGATTTCTCGGTGGTGGAAGGTTTTCGATTGCAGTTAAAAGATAGTTAACTCTGTCTGCCTTCGTTGCTGTCAGGCCAACAATGAACTGACTGACTATCTCTGATGACGAGACGTGAACAAACATGAGCTGGCAACATGGTTCAGCCCCGGGGTGAGCTGGTTGGCACTGTGGTAACGCACACGCCATCCATGCAATGAGTCCGGAGTTCAAAGCCCGGACGGGAGGGAGGATAGGCACTACTGATGAGCTCTAATAAGAGCGAAACTGGAGTCTAGTGCTTCCTAGTCTATGATTGACTGGAATAACTGAGGGTTGTGTATGAAGCTGAAGTCCGAAGAATAGTCAGTTTCAAGTAATGAAAATGAGTTGAATAAATTCCATTTCGGAGGCCTCCACAATACGGAAGCTGGGTAAATGTCAAATAGCAAATCATGAAGTCCATGTCGTCTTGACGATAAATATCGCTGTTTAATTGAAAAACTGAATCGTATCGGAAAATTACAGTTTTCCTGAGTGCATTCTGAGAGTGGTCACCGAAGAAGATCTCTTCATCAGTGCAACTCACTTCTTACTTTGAAGGCCCCTATCTGGAAGCTCATCAACACAGCATCGCGTATTCAATATGTGCACAGATTACCGAGAAGGATAGATATTTGCTTACAGTGCGAACCGCGGAATGAAAATTTTTGTGGGAATTTTAGGTTCACGTAAGATATTTCTTCACCTTGTGTTCGATTCATCAATGACAAGACATTTTGCCCTGGAGTGAATCTATTGCTAAAACTACACACAACGGGATTTAAATTCGTTGTTTAAATCAGTACACTCAACTGTGGTTTGAAAGCAGCTGATCACAGCTGTATTTCGAAAATGGCTGCTCATCTTGGAACCGTGGAAGAGGAGGACGTTGGTCATTCTGTATTAAACATGTGCAGCCTGTTTCCACCTGCATATCCACAGAGTCGTCTTCCAGATTCTCTGTGGATAGTTCCTTGCACTTTTGGGTCTTATTGCTATAGCCTTTAGGTAAAATATCCAATAAAACAGTGCTCCTGTTAATTCCGAAGATCAGGTATAAAAACTGATACGTAAATCAATATAGTCCATTTTTTTGCACACGGAGTTGTTTGGATCTCACAACGTGGTGCCTTCAAGAGGTGGAGCTATTAATCTGCTGGATTGCTTGCGGCGAATGCGTGACCAGACATCCTAATTCATTACGCATTTCCCAATAAATTATTGCGAGAATTCTGAAATTGTATGCGTTTCTCATCATTCCCCTTTCTATGTATGTCGCGTTGATATGGGATACACGCTTGGAAGTTTATCCAAATAAGGTATGATGCAAGCAGAAATAGAGCATTTTTCTTGGCTTATTCCTCTTTTTTCATGCGGACAGGATTTTAATTACGAATTAATAATCGCACTGAATACAGAAGACTCAGGTATTGTAAAGGATCACGGTAACGCGAGGAAACATCCATATAAATCGATAATGACTTCACATCCAAACGAGTAACCAAGGAGGGAGGATCAACCTCAACAGTCGGGCTAAACTGCTAGTTATATATTTTACGTTAACAAGATTGGATTAACCCATTCGATTGTTCAGAGGCACAAGCCATGGTTCGAGTCCTGACAGGGACACAAAGTACGCACTGCTGACGAGTCCCAAATAGGACAAAACAGCTGTCCAGTGGTCTTTGTCGGTTATCACAACATTTTCAGTGCTTGTAGAGCTAGTTAAATAGTTTTATATACTGACAGTGAAACTTCACACAAAGAATGCATTTTAAATTTGCTATTCCTCATTTATATTCCTGCTTTAATAATTAGCCGTTGAATTCTAATTGTTTGATCCTGGTTAATACCAAAATATAACATAAGCATCTTATGTTTGCACAACCATTAACCACGCAGTTTTGTTTGCCGGTTTTGTCTGCCATCTCTTGGCCGCCCATTTGGATGAAGCAATGGGCGGAACTCAGGAAAGCTGGGAGTAAAGTCGAAGAGAAAATGGAAAATTTTATTGGACATACACTAGCACCTCGCCATTATGAATGTTTATTGAGGTGTATCGATGAAATTGTTGTATCTGTTTGAGAGGAAGTACTTTATCGAATGTGTTCTGTTAATAAATTTAGGTGGTGTAGCAAAGCTGTGCTCGGGTAATGTTGTCCAACCGAATGATAAGCTGTGTGAGAACTGCATACCCAGCACAAAGAACAATCGGTACCAGACATTAATAATCTCAGGATAGGATTATAATTAGTTCTATTATTAAAAATTGATCTTTTACTAGAAAATCCTGTTTCTCATCTATCTTTAGTTCTTCCGCTCACTCGCAACATCACATAAGAGGCGTCTTGCTTCAGATATTTAGGTTTTATCATTTAGGAGGTAATTGATTGATGGTTAGAGACGTAGTGATATGGCGAGTTGTCGTAGAGCCTGACCCTCACGCATCTAATCAGCCTATCTCTATCTTTACCTTGTTACTGTTCTAAACCACCTAGTTTTACTCCTTCATTCAATTGGGTAACCTAAAAGATAACAGCCTAAACCGTATCACGGAAGTGCAATATAGACGGCGATATGAGCTGAATGTCATTTGGAGGAGTGAGTAGTTGCTGACGTCTGTTCAGACTAGACGGCCTACATCATGTATTTTTAGCAGATGTCATACTAAAAAGGAGATGCGGTTTTAGTTATTGAACGTTTCATTTGAGCTTTATAGTCCTGGTCTGTTGAGTTCTTTTGTAATCTATTACCCTCATTATCTAGACGGAATCTGGACATTGAACGACCGACCTACACCAATTTGAATCGATTAATTGGTCAGATTGTCAGCTCAATCACTGCCTCACTGCGTTTCGACGGTGCCCTCAATGTGGACATAACAGAGTTTCAAACAAATCTGGTCCCTTATCCGCGAATACACTTTCCCCTGGCCACATTTGCACCCACCATTTCCGCGGAGAAAGCATATCACGAACAGTTGACCGTGGCCGAGATCACGAACGCGTGTTTTGAACCGGCAAATCAAATGGTCAAATGTGATCCACGTCACGGAAAATATATGGCCTGTTGTATGCTCTATCGGGGTGATGTCGTCCCCAAAGATGTGAACGCGGCAATTGCTACGATTAAGACAAAACGTACCATTCAGTTTGTGGATTGGTGTCCAACCGGCTTCAAAGTTGGTATCAACTATCAACCACCAACTGTTGTCCCGGGTGGTGATCTAGCCAAAGTTCAACGTGCAGTATGCATGCTCAGTAATACGACCGCGATTGCTGAGGCCTGGGCACGATTGGATCACAAATTTGATCTCATGTATTCGAAACGGGCATTTGTACATTGGTACGTCGGTGAGGGTATGGAAGAAGGCGAGTTTTCCGAGGCCCGAGAAGATTTGGCGGCACTGGAGAAGGACTATGAAGAAGTCGGCGCGGACAGTGTGGAGGCAGAAGGTGAAGAATTGGGTGAGGAATACTAGGCAGAGTACAATCCAGTGAACCCCTTTCAGAATCCCATTTTAAGGTTGATAAATATTAGCTTCTGTGCAGTCTCTCAATCCATCTCCGTGTCATATATCATCTTCATTGTGCACCCTACGTTCCCTGAGTTACTTCTGTCTGGCTGTCAGTTGAACACCTATTTGCCTGAGATGAATAACACCCACACATACATGTGACCCTCTTGGAAATCTTTTGGTCAGTGTTGGATAACTCACTGTTCTCCCGTTTCAGAGACCAATAGACCATTTGACAGAGTTAATCCGCTCTCACTTGTCATTCACGATATCACATTTGAAACAAATCCGGTTGTCAGGTTCAAACTTATTCTGACGGCTCACAGACATTGACGCTAGCTCGTCCCTCAAGGCATGTTTCTTGGGTTCACACAGATTCACCTGTCACCTTGAATTAAATATGTCAACTTCCTCTGTACATCCACTGTTTTACTCTTGACTTCCATTTCAGTTGGAGGGTGCAAGGTGACAGCAAAGTTTCATTGATTTAACTCACCCAATTCTGTGGGTTTGTACACATTCTGGAAGACATAAGTGCTCATAAGAGGGATCGAGTTGACCACACACATTGCTGTTTTTGTGTTTCCTATCAAACATGGACTGGAATGCGTATCGTTTCATTTGGTGGGCCAGTCTAAGAGGAAGTACTTCTCACATGGAAGTTTAATCAAAAAGAGCAGTTAAGGAGCTTCACTTGAGGTCAATAATCCCTTACCGTTTGAAGATTATTTACCTTCATGAAAGGTCTATTCAGTTATATTTCTACACCTATACAGTGTATTCATTCGTCAGGGTGCAACAAACCGGTTGCTAACTTAGACGAATGAAGTAGAGAGGATGTAAAATTTATCTAGTTCTATAGGCTCTTGTCATACGCGATGAAAGTTAAATTTTCATTATGAGAATTACCTGAACGCTGATGCCTTTCTTGTCCCCATAGGGTATTTTACACAACCCAATCGCTTTTCAGAGAAAATGATAGTGTTACAAAAAAATTACGTGTAAAAAATAACAAACAATGTAGGCTCCAAAAAACCTGCATTTTTATTTGCAAAGAAATGTGAGGTGTGCTAGGGTTTCATCGAGTCGCTGCTTGAAAGATTCAACCGTTGGCATACAAACGACATGAGATAGAAGGGTGTTCCACGTACTGCACACTCTGGCTGCAAAAGATTGACGCCCGCATTCCAGGCTTCACTTTGGAATCAGTAACTTGAAACGATGTCCCCTACGATGTAGGTCGGGTAACAATTTGAGCAGCGGCTGACATGGATGGTTTGGGTTCTGCAGTATTTGATACTCCAAAATCAAGTCTCCTCGAATTCGACGGTACCCAGTAGAATACAGCTCCAATTATCGCTATCACTCCTTGTAGGTGAGACAATGCAATCCCTTGACCATCCTGGTAGCAATCCTTTATAGGTGCTCCGGCATATTGCGATCACGTTGCAACCATGGACTTCAAGCTTGAATGGCGTACTATGTCTACCTACGGTTGAGTGTATATTGATAGCAAACGTGAGAATATTGCTGATTCAAACCGACCAAAGGCTAGCCTGAGCAAGCCAACATTCTTCAGCGGGCCAATTCCTGACGCAATCGGTTGAGCAGTTTAAGTCCCCTTGAAAGATTGTGCTTCGGTCCTTCTCACTTGATATATATGGTAGCTGCCGATTTCCAAGGAAATACAAGAATCTACTCATGTGGCGTAGGGATAGAGCTTTGCATTTGGAAACATTGGATTCAACGTCGTTCTCTGTAGACAATTGATAGACTGCTTTAATTGTTTCTTAATAACGGGCTTTCGTGTTGTCTTACTGTATTCCAGTATTGGGCGTCGTCTGCAAACAACAGTATTGGGTTTAACCTTAGTACGCTCGGTAGAACATTTATGAATGCAGGAAAATTCGGAGACCAATTTAAGACCCTCGCGGAACAGTGTGGGTAAGGTTGATAGAACAGGATAGCGTTTTCTTCCGTTTGAATCTGCTCTCCACATTCTAATCATCATTCTGCTGTTTTATCCAAATAGGTAACCAAAAGACAGCAACCAAAACCGGAGCACGAAAGTGCATGGTTAATGGTTGTAATCACTGAAATGAACTGAGGCTAGTGAATCAGAAGCACGAAGTGATATGGTCAGTTGTCACAGGAGTGCTGTAAGCCAACAAAGCACGAGACTTCGAAGAACGTAGTAGTAGAGCTTCTGTAACTAAATTTGGTGCTTAACTCAATCAGTTGCTTTCGAGAAATCTAGATGAGTGATCTCCGCCACATCCCCTTCATTCACTGTTCTGATTAATTCATCTCGAACAAGAAGAAAGTTAGTGGCACAGGATTGTTTCTGCTTGAACCTATGTTGAGCTTTCGAAAGAATCTTTTCTTTCTGTTTGTTTCACCAGGAAATATGCCAAAATTAAATCCATAAGTAAGAAAGTGACCTGAGGGTTCTTCCTCAACCCAGTTAGTCGGCATAAGGGGCCAACCCTTGAAAAGGTGGGGTGACCCTCCGAGCCACAATCCATCAGGGCCTGAGGTTTTGTCAGTCGGATCATACGCCACTCGAACGAGGCCTCCACATTCACGCTATCCAACCCGCCCCACTATCTACTTTAACCGAGGAACGTGTATTTACTAAGCCTGTACGCTGCACGTAAACTTCTTCACAACTTTTCAAACCTCCTAGAAAAGCGAGTAGCTTAGATTATCCACTGAGTTATGGGTTCAGTGATTGGTGTTTAAACTACGCAGATAACGCCAAGCAAAGACAGGATTACTGCTATCACAGATCTGAATGCAGATTTTGTTTCGACGATAGTTGGGGTTGGAGTGATTTACTCATCGTTTGACTTCATTGGCCCGTTTCATGGTCCATGTGTGAGGAAATTATGGTGAAACAGATAAACAACACATCCTCCACAATACACGGACGCATACAGTAAAATAATAACTTCTGTATCTGCAACGGAAACAAACGGCTATCGATCGTCAATGTCTTGTGGTTGACGAAACAAAAACAAAACAAAAAATGTTTGCTCAACTGATGCAAATATGAAATCCACCATATTCATCCGTATATGGCCGTTCTTAGAAGTGCAATGTAATCAGTAGTTTACGTGACATAACTGACAGAAAATATTCACCAAATCACATTAAATAATCCTGGTCGGCATGTACATGAAAGCCTGCGCACTGGACACGGTTTACAGTCATGGAGCGTGATGCTTGATTGAAGTATACATATTTGACCTCACAAAAATCATGATGTGCTTAGATAGAATCAAATCGTCAGATCAGCGGCCCAGTGGTTTGATTATTGGTCCGATGGACTGGTACTGCTGCTGCGACCTAAGATGGATGAAAAAGCTATATGTGAATGGATTCCTAGGTAGTAAAGAGCTTTGGGAAGGGAGATGTAGATGGCGGTAGCGGAGGGAGCGTATTCTGCCAAATACGCCGGTTTTCGACAGTGCATGCTACCCGTCTCCTGTCTCCGATTGTACTGTACTGTAAATGCTTTCGCCAGTCGCCGCAGTAGCCGTCGTGGGTTTGTATTGTGATTGTGGTGATGGATTGACCTCTTTCCTAGAGAATACATGCGGGGTACGCATGTCATTGAAGTCTACTGGCCGGGGTGATGGGATTTACAACATTCGGCGCGTAAAATATACAGCCGATTTGGCCTTACTCACAAGTGACCGGTTGGGTGCTATCAATTTGTCGGTGTGACCCTGAATGCAATTAAATGCAAATTCCACAAATATAAACTGGCTAGAGATGACAGCTGATACGTGACCTAAGAAGACTAAAGTTAATAATTCTTTACATTCGAATTTGTTCTAAACGTGGTGATGGTGGCACAATCGTTGTCATCCTTGTGTTTTAGACCCTACTGTCCGAGGTTCAATCCCCGCCACCGCCACCCAACCTTTATGACAGGCAGCTTTGCTGTCGCCCTGTTCGATACCACACCTGATTTAGCCGGGCTTTGTGTGATTCACCACTCCGAACTCCCGGGGCCCATTTGACTGATAAACATCAGTGAACAACTGGTCCTGGTGGCTACGGAACCCACGACGTCTGGTGTTCATCATATGAAAATGTGTGTATTGTAAATATCCGCCAATGTGCTTTTAAGTGGATGATGAAAATCCTTTTGGTGAGACGCAGTTCTGTTCACTGGGCGGATCTCCAGCCGTCTCATCAACTACGTATAAACTTCCAGTGTGAGTTTCTACCGGTTTTGAGGACTAAGAATCAACCGAAGTTTACCACCCAATCTTCTATGGAAGTTTATGCTCATTCTAAGTTGAATGCAGAAGCAAAGGGTACCGTTATCGGTCTCAGATTAAATAATCAATACGGATGAACTCACAGGTGTAACCTTTTCATAGTTACAGAAGTCCCGCCAGGCCTACGTGATCGTAATGTAAAATGGCGTCGAAAACTGGAAAAGAATCTAGGTCGATACATTTTAGTGTACTGATAGGACAGTGGCATGAACACTGATTGATGTCTTTGGTGTTACGTCAGTCAGTGGTCTGTGATGAGCTTAACTGGCACTTGGATGACTGGATGCAATTGATTTTAAAATGGCTTTAATGCTTTTTCCCTAAAGCTAATGAAACTACAGGCCCAGGGTGATTTTTTAAACATTACAGAATAGTTTGTCGTCCACGTTCGGGATTATGCGGTTAGCTCTTCGGTGGACTGCGCAATTGCCCTTTGTTGGTGTGTGGTGATTATGTATAAACTGAACATTCTTGTTTCTTTACATGATTGATTACCTGTGTACAATTTCGGGGTGTAATGTAATTCGACTTCGAATATTCTGGTGTTTTATTTCATACTGCGTACTAGTTCGTTTGGAGCACAATTGCGCGGATTTATTGCGATTGGAATTTCGATACCAAGTCCAGATTATCACACGGTGTCGCCGATTTTTACAGTAGTTAAGTACTTTA